CGTTCCGGTATGGGAAATGTAAATGTGATAAAGCTCACATTTATTGGATGCTTACCGTGTGGCCATTTATAAGCACTGTTTCATTAACAACGCTTTAGGAAGACAGACTCTTATTGAAGTCATTCTCCAGGCAAGAAAGTTGAGCTCAAGCTTAATAAGCTTAAGCCCCACTGTCAATAACCCAAGACTCCTGAACTCTGAGCCTTCCAGCATCCTACAGAATAATGTAAGCTGGTCACGATTTACAGGCATCTTGGGTGTGAGGGCTGAAGAGTAAATCAGACTGGCAGAAACCATAAAGTGAGGACGAACAATATAAAACCGTAACGTGATTTTGGAACAATCTTGAAATCACCCATAGCTCTTCCACCACTTGGGCTTTGGTAGTTAGAACCCAGAATTATTTCAATGCCCTACAAATCTGCAGATAAATGCTTGATTCCTTCTGTTAGGAGAGAGAGCTCTGTTAAGACACCCTGACAATCCTCCATGTTCCCCTACAGTATGTAAAAGACAATTTAGATATTCAGAAACCTGATGCGGGCCTTGACTGTGGAAGGCCTGAGGCAGTAGGAATCTAGAGGAACTATTTGCCTAGGTTATCTAAGTTTCCATATCAAAACTCTTCCCTCCTATTAGGGAAAAAAGGTTTCTCCGGTGGAGAGATACTTTTGTGATTGCTACAAACCTGGGTCCAAAGCTCGAGACATTATACTGCCCTCTCCCCTGGAGGCTCTTGACATTCTGATAATAAAAACTGCCAGTTATGAAATGGCTTTTTCTTTGTATTTGAGGTTACTCTGGAAACCGTAGTTGGCCATGGCTGTGAGAAGGCTCTTGGGGCTATAATAATCATGAGGTTAAGTTAACTAAGGTTTCCAATCCTGGGACCCAGGATCCAGTCATACCTGCCATGCTCCTTTGGAGCTACTGGAGACTGCCACACTGCCAAACTCCCAGGAGTGTCCTTGGAACCTATGACACACAGCACTCCCTGGGCCCTTCCCAGCTGAGCTTCTCCTATTTCCTATTACCTGACCAAGTACCTTTGGAACAAAATATTTGGTACAAAAGACCCAGATTCCGTTTCCCTGCCAGATACCTTAGTATACAGTTGGTTACGCAGTCCTGATCTCCACCTGGTTCCACCCTCTGACAGCTGGACCTTACCCTTCCTTGTAGGCCTCCAGGGATGGTCTTGTTCATTTGTTCCCTTTTCTATGTGATGGCATCCTGGAATATTATTGATCTAGACAGGTCCTCTCAGGATCAAACACTGTCTGAAACATGTCAAAGATGGCTACAGCCATCACATCCTGATCCTTATCCTCTCTCAGGTGGACAGTCGCATGAGACTCCGGCATTTCAGCAGGCACATATAGCCAGAATCTCCTTTCCCCACCAGGTCCACTCAGCTTCATCTTTCTCTCCCATTTCATTCTCATATGCCTTTGTTGGAAATATATTAGCCCCTATTCAGTGGATGTTTGACATTCTAACTAATAGAATTCAAAGTAGGGTCTTTGGTATGAACAGAATTGTGCCCACACCCAAACAAAGTGCATATGCTCAACTTCAGTGTGACTCTATTTGGAGATAAGGCTTTCAGGAGGTTTAAGGTTAAAATTCCTAAGGCTTACGGTTTAAATTCCTAAGGTTAAATAAGGTCATATGGTGGGATCCTAATCCAATAAGATTGGTGGCCTTATTAGAGGAAGTCGTGTCTCTCCATGCACAGGCCCCAAGGAAAGACCATGTAAGTGCACCGAGAAGGCAGCCAACTGCAAGCCAGAAAGACAGCTCTCACCAGAACTCAACCACATTGGCACCCTGATCTCAGACCTCCAGCCTGCAGAACAGTGCAAAATAAATTTCTGTGGTTTAAGACACCCAGTCATGATATTTTGTTATGGTAGCCCAAGCTAAGACAGTCTAGTTCTAAATTGTAATAAATTACACTAACAAAATATACCATGATGGGTGCTATCTGTATGATAGCAAATCAGTACTATGCAATGTTGGACTAACCCAGCCTTGAGGGTAGGAAATCTCTCTAGAGGAAATGATGTCTAAAAGATGAATCCTAAAGGATGAGAGGGATGGAAAGTAACTTCAAAGCAGAAGTGGCCCTGCATGTGCAAAACTCAGAGGATGAGAGTGACCATGGTTTCACTAGGCTCTACAAGTACCTCAATATGGCTGAAGAGGAAAGTAGAAAGATTTTGGAATGGCCAAAAGTGGGACTGAAGATATTAGCAGGGACAGGTTGAGAAAGCCTTCCTGACAATGTAAAGAAATCTGAAATTTATTTTGAAAGTACAGAGAAGCCACCTGAGGATTTTTAAACAAAGGACTAACAAAACAGGAAGTATATTTTAGAAAGGTCATGGGAATAAGCAGCATGTCCATGTCAGGAATGCCTTCAGCAACAGCAACATTAGTAATTCAACTAATTTTTATTAAGAACTTATTTAGGCCAGGAACTTTTCTAGGTACCAGGGATATAGAAGTGAACAAAACAGAAAAAAGCAAAGCAAAACAAACAAAAACCCCACCCTGCTCTCATAGCACATTATTCTAGTATGGAGATACAATGTATAAATAAAGAAAAATAAAATGTGTCAGATAGTAACTGGAGTACCAGATGAGTATGGGTGAGCAGGTTACAGAGAGAAGAATTTGCTAGTAAAATGACATTTGAGCAGAGACCTAAAAGAACTGAGGAATAGACTGGTCGAATCTGAGGTCAGACCACCTCAGGAAAAAGAATAGCAAGGGCAAAGGTCCTGAGGTAGCAGCAGTCTGTCCCAGAAACAGGAGACCGTGAGAGAGGGGGGAGAAGGTGCAGAGCTGACGCCAAAGAGGCCAACCCATGTGGCTTCTTGGGATATGCTCAAAACCCTCAATTCTTGGGCTGCCAGAGCATTGCTACAGCCCACGAAAAAGCGCACAGGATATAAATTCTACCCCATTTCTGTTCCACATTTTGGGCCCCAAAGCAGCTCTTCTTGGATCCAAAGTTTCTCTTGGATAGTTCTGCCACCTATTGACCACAGTCCCTCCACCAGATTCTCACACCAACAAGTCAGTTTTCATTCCTACTCCACTAACCAGAGAAATTCAAACCCAAGGAATTTAAATTCCAAGGAATCCAAAGGAAACTGGTACTAAACCATCACTTCATTTTCCATGCCCTCTTTTGTTCCTGCCCCCAACCGAAATTCCCCCTTTCTTTCCCACAGCCACACCCATGAGTCTGCAAATATTGGAGAAATACCAATACTTAGAAGAAAAGATGGACCTATCTACACCAATGGTTCTCACACTCCTCCCATGAACCCTGCCAAGAGCTGAATTTTCACTAAATCCTTAGTGAAATTTAAAAAAAAAAAAAAAAATAGTAGTAGAATGGGTTTTCGTGAAATTAAATTTCTTCCACTTAAATTTAGTTTGGGGATCTGTTTTGATTAGCTATTGTAACCACCACCAAATATCTTAGCTGTGTAAAACAATAAAAGTATATGTCTTACTCTGCTGACGATTAAGCTATGGTCTTTCTTCTCAAAACCCACCTTTCCATACTCAGCTATAGGGTGCTATGGCTGGAACTCAGCAAACCACATTCTCCTTTTTCCGGCTGTTTCCTGGAAGTTTTGCCAGGAGGGAGTGCGGCAAGGAGACTGAAAGACTGGAGGAGGGATAAGGGACATGCGCTCTCTTGGGCTGTTTTTGTTTCTTCCTCTGTGTTTCTGTGGGTTGCTCTGTTTTGCTACAGCTACTGATGCTACCTGAGCACCAGTTCCTTACCTAGAGGATGCAGCTGATTCTGGAAGTAAATGGCTCCAGTTTCCAGGATTTTTCCCCCGCTTTCCCAGAATGAGCCTCATCAGGCTCCCAGAGATGGGGACGCCGCTTCACCGGCCAGTGTCCCCTCCTTACAGTCTGAGTTTCAGCTCTGCGCTGGCTCACCTGGAGCCCAACCGAGTGAAGATGTTCTGGGTCGGCCGTGGCCGTTCGGGCACACAGGTTCCAGCCTCGCCCCAAACAGCCCCGACTAAGGCTTCGGGACCTCAGCGGGAGGCTGGGCATCTGCTGAACACGTGCAAAGGAAGGTGGGGGGGGGGGGGGTTCCGGACCAGGAGAGCAAGCGCAGACCCTCACTTCCGCCTCGCCTAGCGGTCACCTGCAAGGCAGCTGGGAAATGTAGTCCAGCTTTTGTGGCCTGCCCAGCAGCCCTGCCGCAAGGTCCTTCCTATACTTCGTGTGAAACCCCCTTTCATGTGTTAGGGTGCTTAGTAGAGGATAGGTTTTCATGCCCGCAAAATAAGAGGTTACTCGTCCCCCAAGCCCCAGCCCTCAATAAGTCAGTGAAACCCAAAAGTTCGAGAACGACCCTCCGGGGATAACACCTGCTTTCCGTTGCCTTCTTTATGCTCACAGAGAGGATCTGTTTAGGTTTATTTCCAAGTTTGACTTTCTTTCCTCCTGAACGCAGTGATGCATAAAACTTCTCTCCCACTATGGTATGGAAAATCTATAGTCGTACCTCATCCTTGATTTCTAACATCAGGGTTGTAATTTTTCTTTAGCAAACAATATATTAGAGATTCCAGATGAGTGTTGAAACTGGAATAGCATTGGCCAAATTCGCTGAGCTCCCTAGAAGAAATTTTCTATTTTAAAAAGAAGAATACCGAGTTTAGTTTAGAACAGGCTCAAAGTTAGTTTTGTACTCATTTCTACCTTTTGTTAAACTTGCTTTCCAACTGGTTAAGTTAACGTACTTACACTTGGCTCTTTCATTAATCTTCGCAAATTATGGAATGTTTTGCTTAAACCTCCGCCTACCCAAAAATTGCTGTTGAATCCATATTAGGTAAGAGCACTGTAAAGATATAGGTCATCTGACCTTTAAAAAGTGACACTGATTATGAGGCCCTGAGAATATCATCCTTTTGCCTGCAATATGAAAACAAATTTCGTCTTCAGTGCCATTTCTATTTTTTTTAAATAATTGAACCAGAAGTTTTCAGGGTGAGCAGACAGAACCCTTAATTAATGCAGGAAGAATGTTTTACACCCAAGCCAGGACTGTGGGAGGTAAAGAGGCAATTAATAGTCTGTCTCTCTCTCTGTCTCACTCTCGCTCTCTCCCTCTCTCTCTCTCTTTATATTCATAACAAAACATTTAAAAGGAAAAGCATTATGCCAGCAGGGTTTTTTAAAGACAACTACTATTCCTTTTTCTTTTTCTGTAACTCTTGCATGTCCAGAATGAGCTAGACTGTGACTGACTATTGCTGGAAAATCTTAAGTTCTAACCACCCAGTGAACACTGAAACCAATGCATTAAAGACCTCCAGAAGCCTACTCCTCTTCCATTTTCCCTCTCCTCTTCAAGAACACATCAACATTCACCAAGTCACTGGAGCTAAAAAAAAAAAAACTTAGAATCGTTCTTGGCAGGTTCTTGTGTACAATTTCAGTGCACGTGGCATTGCATTGTGTGTATTTATTATTACTCGCTTCTCCTTCCAGCTACTTAAACACAGGAACCCTTACTTGTGTTTGGATCTCTAGTGCTTACATGATGCTCACACAGAGTCCACATCACGTAAATGAATTTTAGTTCTTCCTCTTCCCTAGCTCTTTATTTTTGGTCACCAAAAATGTCTCCTGATTCTGTCCTCTCCCCCAATATCTACACCCCTGTCACTCTCACTTGAACTATCCAGAATCTTCACTTGATTATTCTCTCCGAGTCCAGGTTCACTCCCTCTTCTACCTGCCCTCCCACAGAGATGCCAAGTTACCATTCTCCAACACAAGTCTAATCTAATCATCCTTTTATCTAATACTTTCAGTAGTTCCCTAGCAACTGATATAAGATCCAAATTTCTAAGTATAATTTTCAACACAGCTTCCCTGCCCAAGTTCATTTACAGAGACTTGCCCACCATGTATCCTAAGCTCGAGCTATTCCAAACAACTCATTATTTAATCAAGAAACACTCCTTTAGGGCTCTGAGTTTTTCATTTCTCCTTTTCCATTCAAAATGCCTTTTCTACTCTCCTCAGAAAGCTCCTACTCATCCATCAACACCTAGAGATGCTGTTCCTCCACAAAAGTTTGTGCGTCTCAAAGGTAGGGACCGGGTCTAATTTATTATTGTGCTCCTGGTGCCTAATACGGTTTCTGACACCATCGGCATCAACAAATCTTTGTGAAGAGTAATTGCCAACCAGTATCTGGGAGTCTTTAGTATTCTGAAATCCTAATTGATATCTTCACTTCTATAAAGGCTGCATTCCTGCTTTTCAGGATGGCTCCCCAAACGTATTATTTTACTACATACTGGAAACCCTTCAGAACCTCTGCTCAAAATCACAGACATGATAACGTTCCTTTTTAAGTAGCTGAAGAAAGTGGATTTACTTATTTGACAAAAAAATAGCTGGTGTGATAAACTTGAGATAGCACATAGGTAGTCCTTTTTGCTAAAGATGATTATGATAATCTCATCTCAGTAAATAATTTTCAAAACACTTCTATATACATTATCTTACTTGATAACATGTTGACATGGCCGGGTAATGGTCAAATTCATTAGCAAGTCATCATTTGGACTTTGGCAACAAAACGACAAAATCTAGCCCCAGCTCCTCCTCCTACTAAAATACTTGGCCTTGGAAACATTACTCAACCTCCTTAAGCCTCCTCAAAACTGTTTCTTTGCCAGCAAAAATAAAGATAACTGACAGTAAAAGTAATTAGTGTTTTTTTCAAGGAAGTTTCTTTTGTTGTTTTTTGTTTTTTGTTTTACAAAATTGCATATATTTAAGGTATACAACTTGATGTTTGGATATACATGTACATTGTGAAATAATCACCATAATCAAGCTAATTACCATGTCCATTACTTCACATGGTTACCATTTGTGTGTGTGTGTGTGTGTGTGTGTGTGTGTGTGTGTGTGGTGAGAACCCTTAACATCTAACCACTTAGCAAAGTTCAAGTATATGACACAGTGTTGTCACAGTCAACATGCTGCACATCAGATCTCCAGAACTTAATCATCTTATATAACTGAAACTTTGTACCCTTTGGCTGACATGTCCCCATTTCTCCCTATCCCCAACCCCAAACAATCATCATTCTACTCTCTGCTTCTAGGAGTTTAACCTTTTTGGTCAAATGATTGTTACACTAGTTTCAGGTTTTCGTGACTTTTAGATTAGACGTGTAAGTGAGCTCAGGCAATGTTTGTCTGTGCCTGACTTATTTCATTTTGCATAATGTCCCCCAGCTTCATCCATGTTGTCCCAAAAGGTGGCTTTCCTTCTCTCTTAAGGCTGAATAATATTCCATTGAATATATACCACATTTTCTTTGTCCATTTATCCATCAATGGACACTTAGATTGTTCCCACGTCTTTGTTACTGTGAATAATTCTGCAATGAACATGGGAGTGAAGTATCTTTTCAAGACCCTGATATTGTCTCCTTGGGACAAATACTTCCTTTGGACATGGGATTGTTGGATCAAATGTAATTCTGTTTTAAATCTTTTGAGGAGCTTCCATTCTGTTTTCCATAATGGCTGAACCAATCTACATTCCCAGCAACAGTGTTTAAGGGGTTCCTTTTCTCCACAACCTCACCAACACTTCCCTTTTGATAATAGGCACTCTAAGAAGCATGAGGTGATATCTCATTATGTTTCTTATAGGCAAACACTATTCTAAATGATTTCCACATAATTCATTTAATTACATAAGAAGTGAAATAAATACCATGAACTGCCTTTAATTAGGGAACTGAGGCACAGCTAGTAAATGGTAAGGCCAGGATGGAGACCAGTATTCTTACCCACAATGGAAACCACCTCAGAGATTTTACCCCAAGTACTAAAAGAGATCAAGTATATACAGCCCTCAGTAAAATACTGGCACACAGTAAATCTTTAATAAACATTGGCTGTTCCTATTCTTATTAGCTGGGAGGACAATAGCAATCCTTCAACGAAACTCTAATGTAATCTAATCACCTGCCTACACCAAGCACCAAAATAGAATTATCCACTTCTCTTACAGCCTCAGTAGGAAAACAAAGAGGGGAGTAGAAGTAGCAACAAAATAAGAGTATATGTATGAAGGCAACTTACAAGTCAAAGGTACTTTAGAAATGAATGGAGGTGTTGTGTCAGAGGCAGGAATTTTTGGAAGTGTGCCACAACGCTGGCATTTAATTGTCCAGTTCCCAGTATGGGGACTGCTCATTTTCCTCCTTGACAACCAGCCCAATCCTATGAAAAAGTGAATAGTGCCCTACACTATATTTTCCTGTGGAAACAATTCACATGATAATCTTGTCTGTGTCCACACAGGAACCAGCATGATACAGGGAACCCTTCCCAAATCCAGCCTTCCTCACTCCATCCCCATAGAACCCCTAAATTGGGCTCTCTCTTCAAATTCAGCTGTCTTCTGTGTTTTACTATTTGACCAATTTTCTCCCTTCGAGACCACATGGATTCACTTCCCTTCCTCATGGTTTTACTGAAAGCCAATTAACAACAATTATCCCCTACAATAGCAGATTAATTAGAAGAAACCTTGTTGCTATAAGCATATCATATATGTCAAGTGAAGATCTCCCTTTCTGGAAAGTTCTATGTCATGCTGTCCAATAGAACTTTCAGCAAGGTCATTATCTTCATTGTCTAATGACAGCCACTAGCCACATGTACATACTGGGCTTTTGAAATATGCCTACTGCAACTAAAGAAAGAGATTTTTCAATTTAATTTACTTTTAATAAATTTAAATAGGCAATATAGGGAGTGTCTACCATATTAGACAGAGCAACTGCACACTATTATCCACTTCTACTAATCAGTGTGGTATGGACTACTCAAAATTAAGGATCTGACCTCATAAGACCAAAAAAAGTCAACTTGGAGGAGGCCAGTCCTCTGAAGACATGATAACATATAGAGCTATAGCCCAAAACCAAGTATTTCTAAAATTTGCTTTCAGAAGAACTAGAAGGCCTGATTCTCAAACTGGCACTGTGCCACCTTATCATTATTCAGTACAAGCAGTAAAACAATTATTCTATCAGTTTTACAGAAAGATGAACATTTCAGTGGCAGGAAAAGTCCAGAATGGACTGCTAGCAATCACAGCAAGTCCTGAAAGAAGAAATTAAAAATCAAGTATCAGCCAAAGAAAAGCCAACTAATTTGTCTCTATTCTTTTTCCCTCACAGAAACGTATCCCCAGCCACGCATCGGCCTGGGAACTGCAGTGACTTGCCTTCCTATGAAGATCAATTTGCTAAGGAAGAGAGGAAAGTGACAAACTACACAAGGCAGGAAAATAGCAAATGCCAAGGCTTTGTGAGAAGCCAAGTGGTGCAAAGAAATGTGGGGCATGGATATTGAGAACAACAGGAAGCCATTGGACTGCGTGGAGTGGGAGGAGACATGATCCACCCTGGGTTCTGTAAAGATGGCGGCGGGTGGCTGATGTGTGTAATAGAGTTTGGAGTGGGGCAACACAGCATGAGAGACCAGTTAGGAGGTCTTTGTCATTGTTATGGCAAAAAGAGAAGGAAATTAAATAAAGTAATAAAAAAAACAAATAAGTGATAGAGCTGAGGACTGCGGGCGGCAGAGCCTAAGAGAAAGGGGCATAATCAACAGGGAATTAGGAGCAAAATTACCAGGGCTTCATAATGACTGACACAGGGTAGAAAGGAAGCAGGTAATGAGCAAGAGGTTCCTGGTTTTTACAGCTGAATGGAGGGAGAGGCTCTTCCCCGAGGTAGATGTTGGAAAGGACTGGATTTGAGGGAGGACGTAAGTTTCATTTCGGACACTTGTCTTTGCAGTATCTTTAAACACAATTAGGATGGCAAGTAGACAGTTGGACATGGGACCTTAGAGACCAAAGGAACAGTTTAGTCCATACCTCTATTCCTTTTTTTTTTTTTTTTTTTTTTTGTTTGTTTAAGATAAGCTGGTAGTTTGATGAGATGTCTAATTTTTCAGCTCATAAAAGATGATGCCCAGGGGCACCTGGGTGACTCAGTGGGTTAAGGCCTCTGCCTTCGGCTCAGGTCATGATCCCAGGGTCCTGGGATCGAGCCCAGCATCGGGCTCTCTGCTCAGTAGGGAGCCTGCTTCCTCCTATCTCTGCCTACTTGTGATCTCTGTCTGTCAAATAAATAAATAAAATCTTTAAAAAAAAAAAAAAAAGATGATGCCCAGAAGTCACATTTTCAGAGTCCACAGGGGTCAGGTGTGAACTGGACCACTCCCCAGCTCCATCCTGTGGTTACATAGGAATAATTAGTATTGCTGAAATTGAAAGTTTTTAAGAGAAGCTGAAAATGTGAGGGCTTTATTTTTTTTTTAAGATTTTATTTCTTTGAGAGAAAACACATAAACTGGTGGAGGGTCAAAGGGTGAGGGAGAAGCAGACTCCCTGCTAAGCAGGGAGCCCAATGAAGGGCTCGATCCCTAGATGCTGGGATCATGACCTGAGCCGAAGGCAGACACTTAACCGACTGAGCTACCCAGGCACCCCTTAAATTAAATCTCTAAATGTTTTATTCAAATTTATTTTTTTTTAGAAGACCATCTGGGCCAAACAAAATCTCTCACAGTCCACACTTACCCCATGGGCCACTAGTTTGTGACTTTATCTCAGGGTTGGCACCTGCATAGAATTCGTGTATCCCTGTGTTAATCCTCCCTAACTGATAGCCTTTCCCACTGAGTTTGAATGCACCCTCAGAATCCATCTCAACACAACCCTCCAAGGGAGATGCTGTTCTACAGTATTCAGAGCTATGGGAGTTGAAATTTATCTGCCCTGTATTTTCTGGCGGTAACCAATGTTGCTCTACAAAAACGTAAAGACGACACAAAATGCCCTCAATTCTTCCCCTCCCTTCAGGAGAAATTGCCTTGGGGCATGCACACACAAATGCCAAAACTCTTTGGTGCCTGTTTCTATTAGTGCATATCGTGTTTCCTGAGCCTACAAACAATGTATTCCCATTTCTTCTGCAGCCTATCTCTATGCATGGCCTTTTAAATGCCACTGTAGCTCAGCTAAGTCAACATCTTTTTCTTTTTCTATTCACTCCTGGCCTTCACCTCTCCTCGAAACTTTTTTTTTTTTTTTAAATCTCTACAGCGTTTCCCTAAACACCTCATTTTGCTTGATTAAAAGCAAGACCTGGACAGTTTTCTCTGATTCTCTAATGTGATGATAACTGATGGAAAAGCCTTTTCATACACTGACCTCAGAACTCAAGCGCAGTGAGAAGATTCTGCAAGGCCTTTTACTTCCTGCAAAGCTACTTGCTTTGTTTTCACCTGCGTTTCAATAAATAGAAGAAAGAGTTCCCATTCGTTCCAATTAGTTAAAAAAATAATCATTTTCTCATGCAAAATTAAAGCTTAGCAGGCACCTCTCTTTGGGAAGACACGAAGCTGAACACTTTTAATTTAAGCCAAACAAGCACATTAAGAAGATGTATTTCTCTAGAGCTGTAGTCCTTCAGGGTCCTTGAATGCCAGTTATTGGCTTACTTTTTAGCCTGAGTAAAAGATCTTTTTGCTGCTGTCTTTAAGGATCACCATTAAGAAAAGCAGCAGCAGTTACCGCATTATTGAGTTTTCTTTGTCAGGGGAAGAGGGAGCAGGAATTAGAGTCTCAGACGTTGGATTGCACTGGCATTAGTTCGCTGGGGCCACCATAACAAAGCATCCCAGATGGCTTACACAACAGAAATTTATTTTCTCACCGTTCTAGAGGCTGGAAGTTCAAGATCAAAATATCAGGAGATCCAGTTTCTTCTAAGGGTCTTTATCCTTGGCTTGTAGATGGCTGCCGTCTCCCTGCGTCTTCACGCCGTCTCCCCTCTGTATATGTCTGTCCTAATCCCTTCTACTCACAAGGACACCCGATGTAGTGGAGGGTGGCCCACCCAAACGATTTCATTTCAACCAAATTATGTCTTTAAAGACCCTATTTCCAAATACTGTCACATTGTGATGTGCTGAGAATCAGAACTTCCACACGTGAATTTGGCAGCCAGGGGCAGGGGGGCACACAATTTAACCCATAATGGTGACCCTGAGGATAATGTACATTAGAGCAGAGTGTGTGTTTAGTGACAAGCAATAGAACTAATTCCTGCTGGTAAGTGCAAAGCAGCGGCAACAGCAACAGAAAGAAAGAAAAAACGCTAAGGCAGGAATGTAATCATGACCCAGGAAGGGACAGGAACCAAAAACCGAAAAACTCTCAGAACTTCTCCCCCTCCACTCCTTCTGCTAATAGGTTTCTTCCCTGTCCACCTACCTCCTTTTCCTTCTCCCCATTTCACAGGATGGAATATGGTCCGTAGGCTTCCAAGCCTGCACGGGACAAATTTTACTATTTATCCAGATGAACCAGCTAGAAAAACCAGCCCTGATTTCCAGGGAAGAGACTCTGACTGTCCCAGCTTGGGTCAGGTGTTCACCATGGTCCCATTATAACGAGGCGATGTAGTCATCTGTTTCCAACGTGGCTGTTCTGGGCTTCCCCGTGAACTGGAGTGATCTCTATAGGAAAGGAGGGAGATGGGGGAGGTAGAGATACATGATCATGAGCCTGCGAATAGGGCAGATGCTCTAACACTTGTCGCTGTATGGGTAAGAATGTTTGCATGTCCCACTCTTTTTTCAGACCCCAGGATATTGCTCCCCTGCTCACGAGCCTACCTAGATATTTCTCCTCTTGATGTGTAGACAAGAGGTAACTATAGCAACTGGATGTACAGGTAATTGCTATAAAACAATGCCCGGGGTTGAAAAGCCATGGAGAAACTGATCCCTACATTCGACCAGGGCACTAGTTCACAGCTAAGGTGAGTTTCTTGTCTCCAGAACAATCAGTGTTTTACCTTATAAAAATAAAGAAAAGTGTGTGTGCCACAATTCTGTCTGAAAGCTCGGGCATTGAAGTAGACCCAGGAGATGCAATTTCAAACAAGACTCACCTTTTCATCTTCCAGGTCTGTGACTTGGCTAGGTCTCTGTTGCCTCTAATCCTTTTTGTTATCTTGGCTTCAGCTGCCCGCCATTTCCAGAAGCGGGCTGACGGGCAACGACCCAGGTTTAATGACACCACCCTTGGATCCAAAAAGACACCATTCCTCCAGATGTGGCTAGTTCATCCCCCACAGGACCATCCAGCCTGCTAGGCATCCCAGATCCTGGGATGATCTCCCTCTTCATTAATTGTCTCTCACCTGGAACTCACAGAACAATACCCTTCCCTCTCTTTCTCTCTTCTAAACTAAATATAGAATTGGAATGACTCACTTTTGGAATTGTTGAGATAAAGAAACAGACATAATGTGGGGTTTTAAGAGCTCAGCTCTTCCTCTTACCAACAGTTTGGGAGACAGCTCCGTGAGGAACACTTGGAACCCGGGGCGAGGCTGCCAAGGTTCAAGGCCACGCTCCACCACTTACTAGCTCTACCTTAGACAAGTTATTAACCTCTCAGAGCTTCGCTTTCCTCACAGAGGTGTTGGGATTATTAAACAAGCTACCGTACCTGAGGTGTTTAGAGTTATGCAATTTATTGCTGTTACTACTGTTATAATACCAAATCTGGCCTGACGAGCTAAGGAGGGTTGGTCTCTGAAAAGACACAGCAGCAGTCCCTCTCCATTCTCCATTCATGGCACTCTGCTCTCCTGCCTCCTTTTTTTTTTTCATCCTCCCCAGCACCTGCGCATCTGGGATCCTCCTGCAACCTTCCCCATCAATACCCACCCGGAACTCACTCCCAAAGTAGCAGCCCTCTCTGAGAGCACTGTCTAAGAGGCAGTTCCATTTTCTCTTCACTATCTTGTTTCCTTTTTTTAGATTTTTTTTTCTACTTTTTCTCCCATAGCATGCATGCATCTATAGCCAATGGAGTTATGCCAGTTGCACAAGGGAGTAGTAAGATGCCGATGTCTCAAGCTGTGTCTGCCCCCCGCCATACTCACTGCAGCTGAGTTTAGAGCCCCTCCTCTCTCACTGGACCATGACATCAGCCTTCCTACTTGGTCACACTATCAATACTTTAACCAATCCACTGCCCATAGCGTTAGGAGTGAGCAGGACAGTTAGGCAGTCAGAGCCAGGGTCTTCAACAAGAAAATATGGGGTCAGGACAGTTAAGATAAAACACCACTGACATCCTGTTTTGCAGCTTAGACAGGACCACACTAGCATTCTGCTTTGCAGCCTTTGCAGAAATGACTTCTGCAAAACATCCTAAAATAAGACCATTAACCACAAAGCATTTGTCACCATCACAGGCAAGGGGCAGTTAAGACATAAGTCCCCAGATGTCAGCAAAAAAGACCATCAGCACATATACATTAACCTAATAGGTACACAGATGTGTGACCAAAGCCCTGATGGGCACAACTCAGCCCACCCTGGTTGCTTAAGATAGTTCGGCAAAAGAGCTCCTAAAAACCACTAAACTTAGAAACTACAAGGGCAACCCTCTTGGGTCCCCTCCCTCTCTGAGAACTTTACACTCTTGCTCCATAAAGTTTGCTTTGCTGCCCACCACTCTGGTGGTGTCCACCACTCGTCTGGTCAACCTCTTCATTCTTCCAAGTGGCATGACCAAGAAATCCTGCAACGATAGTCCTAGCATAGGCTCTTCCTAAACATTTAATCACAAAGTAAATATTTCCAGATTAAAAAACATTTAAAGATCCCTATTACTTAAGAGGTATGTTCCAAAAATTCTTGGCATGGCCCAGAAGCCTGCTTCTAGCCCCAACATATATTTTCAGTCTAGTCTCCTACCATCCTACTTCCCCATCACCCTACACTCTAGCCAGTGAAAATCAGAAGCCATTTTGTGTAAATCGTATGTTTCTTCCAGCAGGAATATTCCAGCCTTCTACTCCTCCACCTAGCTAACTCTTACTTTATTTTTCAAGCTGCCACTCAGCAAACATCTCCTCTAAAAACCATCTATGTATCTCCCCAGAAATAATCAATAATGCCCTCCTCTCTATTCACTTCATATAGTATATATGACAAAGTGCCCTAATATCAGTTTTCTAGACTCTCTCCCACATTAAAAAAAAAAAAAACCTACTCTATTGAAATATGACTGACATACAAAAAGCATAAAGAATTCCTACAACTCAGTAGCAAAAAACAAAGAGCCCATCTAAAAGACAGGCAAAGGACCTGAATGGACATTTCTTCAAAGAAGACATGAGAGTGGCCAACAGGCATTCGAAAAGATGCTCAACATCACTAACCATCAGGAAAATGCAGCTCAAAACCAAAATGAGCTATCACCTCACACCTGTTAGGATGCCTATCTTTAAAAACAACAAAAGAGGGGTGCCTGGGTGGCTCAGTGGGTTAAAGCCTCTGCCTTCGGCTCAGGTCATGATTTTAAGGTCCTGGGATCGAGCCCCGCATCGGGCTCTCTGCTCGGCGGGGAACCTGCTTCATCCTCTCTCTCTGCTTGCCTCTCTGCCTACCTGTGATCTCTGCCTGTCAAATAAATAAATAAAATCTTAAAAAAAAAAAAAAGAAAGAAAGATAACAAGTGTTGGCGAGGATATGGAGAAAAAGGAATCCAGGTACTGTGTTGGTGGAAACGTAAACTGGTACAGCCATTACGGAAACAGTATCAAGCTTCCTCCCCACTTTACCTTAAGTTCTTTGAAGTCAGGAATCATGTTCTATCAATCTTGGTACCTCCCTCAGCATCAAGCCCAGAGGAGAGTAGGAGCTGTTAGAAAGATGTGATGAATGAATGAATGAGGGTGGAGGAAGGTGCTATTCTTTATATACAAAGATGACATCACCACAACCCTACCAACAGACTTCACCGTTGTCCCCATTTCCCAACATTGGCATGGATTATATGGATAGGTCCCTATTCCCTCATCCTTGGTACTGTAGGCCCAGTGATGACAGAATGGCTGTGTGAGAGCCTTCAACTAGGCACAAAGGACTAGGGACAAAACTAGGCTCTTCCCTTGAGGAAAATTCTAATCTCGGTCTCTATCAGTGTCACCCACTCGCCAGCTGAACCCAGGCCCTTGCTCAAAGTTAGCTCACAGCTAACTTTGTCTGACAGTGGGGTTGAGAAATGGAAGGACAGATCTTCTCCAACCTGCATAAAACTGAAAAAGCATGTGTGCTCCAACTCAGTGGATGGAAGACCCCCTTCCTCCCTGCCTGCCTACCTTTCTGCTTTCTTCTTTTCATAAAGAATAGCAAAGATGCTGGTATAAACGTGACCATAACAACGCTGGTGGTAGAATAAACTCTTCATCTTCACTCCCTTGTTAATCAACTACAAAAGCCTTCGATACACACACCAACCTCAGAAAGGTTTTATCACTTAACTACTATAAAACAACCCCACAGGTTAATGCATGCTTGATCTCAAAGGAGTGGCAGTAACCATTATGTTATTCATATCAATTTCACAGCTAGAAACAAGTAGAGAGAATTCAGGCCCAGAAATATGGCACAAAGTCTGAGTTAATGGGATGTGCTGCCTGCCCCCATCCCAATACTACTCCCCAAAACTCAACTTACCGTTTTGCTATGGTCTGAAATTCTGGAACCAGAAATGTATTCCTCTGGGGTTTGTTTGTTTGTTTGTTTGTTTTTCTGTTAAAATGCAAAGACCATATAGGTAGATCACATATCAAACCATGGTCAATCATTTATGCCTAAGATAAATCTAAATAAATTTAGCCACTTTTCTAGGGCATTGGTGGTTACAGAGGATAGAGAGGGAATATGGGGAAGCAGTGACTTGAGTAACTGGGGCAGGCCTATCATCATGTATTGAAAACAAGGATAAAGAGGAATGAGGGTCTGAGAGCAATCCTTACTCGGTTCACACGTGTACTTCCTGCTTGGCATTGATAGAAGTGTACGTAGACAATTGTATGGCAATAAGAGGTTGAAGGGTTTGACTGCAGCTCAAATCCTATTCTGTAGGACTGAGTTACTGAGCTCTGCTGCCTCTATTTTGCATCACTGGCATCCAAAGAAGGAGGCAGCGTGAATGCAGCTTGTGTTTCACTGTTTATGGTGTATTTGTTTCTGACAAGCTCTGGGTCAATAACTTTTCATAAGTCAAATCACAATATAGGTACTCCAGGAGAGAATTTGTGAGATCATCTTGAACAGTGAATATGTCTTGTCTATTTTGTATAAGTGCATGCTTTTTTACATCAAGCTTGCTTGCTAAGAGGTACACTCACAGTGTATGCTGCCTTTCCCTCTGGAAGGCAGAATATTTAGAACTCTATGGCAACTTCTGATTTAATTTACAAAATGCCTGCTCAGGTGGGCAAATTTCTGCAGGAGAGTCCTGGTGATCTCAATCTGCCTGTGTGGAATGCACAGAATAAATATGATCATCCCCAGACGGCTAAGAGATTTGCTCACCTGACAAGTTGGTAGAGAAACAAGCAGACAGACTCTTCTCTTGGGAAACCCAGAGGATGCCAGGAGCTGGGTAAGAGACTCCTTATAGCTACAGGCTCTTATAAGAACTGATAAAAAAGTATTTGAACAAAAGCCTGTTTCATTGAAATAGTTAATAGAAACTCAAGAATCACGATGTCTACCATTGTGTTACATAAGGTTAGACACTCGAGATTCTTCCAACACAGGTCAACAAGGTAAAGATTGTTGTGAATAGAAAAGCACACCTTATATCTCAACAACATAACTTGGTTTGCACATGATGATCCTTAAGAATATTTTCACTAACAAAAATAATTGGCTTAAAGCAGTACCAGGAGTGAACAAAGAACTTGGAAACAAGGGTGCCCACAAACAGACAAACCAAAGAAAAGGATCACTGAATAGGAGAAAGGAAAAAGTCTACCAGGCCTTTCCAGAAACATAATCAATGATGTTGGCACATTGGGACCTCACCTGGACCCCAAGCAAATACTCCTCAAAAGGAATCTGCCTCCTTTTGCTTTGAATCTGCACTCAGCTATCTACTGATTAATAATATCGCTGGACACCCAGAACAGGGGCCACCCAAGCACATGCAGGAGTTTTCTCTTGTAAACAATCACGTTGGCATCTGAGTTTATCTGCAAATCTCACGTGAAT